TGCTTCTCTTATAACATGTGATTTGGTATATTTGTACAGTTTTAATAATATACAAATTTACTGTAAAACTCTTAACTCTTTTTTTCTACATGTTGATGAGAGTGACTTTACATCAGAACAAAGGCTGCAGAGTTTGTCTCGGTTTCAGCTGCTGGTGTGAATGTGAAATTTGCTTATAATGAAAAGGTGTGCACTGGGGGTATTTGATAGTGATGCGATGTCTGGGCCACAATTCAATATAATCGTGATTCTATTGCGATACAGCGACTGTTATGATTCAATTCTGTGATATATTGTGATTCATGTCCCTCATAATATGGAGGAGAACTCAACTCAAATGTCGCATTTTTAATGGTCTGCACATTCAAAAAGAATAGGAGGATTTTCTACTTAATAAATCGGTTTTATACCGCGCTTTTTTGGACACTCAAAAACGCCTCACATCTCATTATTTATTCATTCCAAACACACAACGACAGCAGACATCAGTGGGAGTCGGTGGAGAAAGTCTTGTGGTCGAACCCACGACCTTCAGGCTCAAAGGCCAATTATCTACCAACTGAGCCACTGTCGCCCCACTTCCGGGTGAATCATTCTGATAAGTGCTCGTCAAATAAGACCAGAGTTTTGTTCAAAAATTGATCCTTGAACTTTCAGGACACAAACCTTCTTACAGACACAGACATCCTTAGTCACAACAAAACGACATCATGGAACAAAAACCTTAGATATAAACAACCAGAGTAAATGACACAGATAATTATTGAATTAATTATAGAAATACTTAATCTTCTGTATTGTGCACTGGTTTACAGCATGTGCCGCAGAAGTGAGTACATTTGCACCATCTTCACCAGAACACGAAGCATTAACCTCGGCTTTGTTTCCCTTAATATGTAAAAGATCTTCCTGCTGCTCTGCCTTGAAAACAAAGTTAATGTATAAAAAGGAAGAGGGCTATATGTTCATGCAGGAATCCAGCACTCAGGTTAACGTTTCGTCTGCTGGGAGGAAATAAGGTGAACCAGAATCATGAGAAGAGAGGCTATTGCGACTGTGAGAGCTGATTGTTTAGTGGCCCTTGTTATTTCAGTAAAAACCTACCGTGGAATGTTTTTATCTGTGCCGCTCTCTGATTGGACCACGCTCCTGCTCATTATGGAAGGGGGGCTTAGGAGGCCGCAGCCCAAAACGGTCGGAGCAGACAGCTTTTGAGCACTTTGAGCGCCTCATTCTTTGTCCCCTCGTCACAAACACTGGGCATATTTGTTCCTCTGTGAGTCTGAAAGTATTCCCACACTGTAGTCGTTTACAAAAGGAGAATCGTAGTCTATATTTCCCCCTGTTTCAAAGTCTTATGCCACAGTCACAAGGATTTTAAAGAAAATAATCCTGGAAACGTGATAGCGGTCTTAGCTCTGAAGTACTTACAGGCAGCAGGTCTGGAGTGGGTAAAACTACTGAGAAACAGAACAGAAACAGACCAATAAGGAGCTGCCCACAGTAGCATGAAGCTAATCATTGGTTTTAAATGAATGAAAATACTCAAGATCAGTTTATGATTTGAGATTTTATACTTCATTCTTACTTCTTTATTATGCTAAAACTAGAGATTTTAGGGTGTAGACAGACCTGCACTTTTGGTCCACTTTAAATGGACCAGGATTTGTTTGGAACTCTGATCCTGACCTTTCATGCAGGTGTGAATACACACACGAATCCTGGTCCGGACGAAAGAACCGGACCGAGACCCACTTTTTTAGGTGGTCTCGGTCTGCTTCCAAACTAACTCTGGTCCGAGTTGATTCAGGTCTGAATACAACCGGGGTCGATTCAACATAACTCCAGGATACGTGCGCATTTTTTGGCCTTAATTAGCCACCGTAGACAAGAACTGTGAGGAATTCGCCACGCGTCACAGTAAGTAAGTAAGTAATCTTTATTTATATACCGCCTTTCACACACCAGAGTCACAAAGCGGTTTACATTTGTTATTTTTTGGGCACCAAAACAAAAATGTTTGGTCCGCTTTTGGTTCAGACCAAGCAAGCGGACCAAAGGACTTTTCTGGTCTGAATACACCCTTAGATTTGCTTCTTTATTATGCTAAAGCTAGAGATTTCGGACTAACTTCTTTATTATGCTAAGTTAGTATAGAGTTCATTTATCTTGTGCTGTGTGCTCCTCATTCCTGTTCTGTAACTGGTGATGCAACACTGACATTTACACCGCTGTGGGTCGAATGCAGGATATCTTAATCTTAAACTTAATCTTATTCTTAAACCCCACTCCTTCACTGTTTACAGCATATTTCCAATATGATTTGAGAAGGAATTTGTTCATATCCTCCCAACATCGGAGCTGCGGTTACAGCTGGCAGAAGCATTTGGAACCGAAACGGAATTGGAAAAAATAGAAAGAGCTCAAAGTGAAAACAGCAAAAGAAAAACAATCGCAGAGTTCAAACCTGTGACTGTCACTTTGTTACTAAATGCAAACAGGCGTGACAACATTACACTGATTATCCTACAATTAAAATTAAAAAATTTCATAGTTTATACTTTACATTCAAGCAATCCAGCTTTTCCAGTTTCAAGCTGACACAGTGCATTGCGAAAAGTATTGATACAGTTTGAACTTTTGCACATTTAGTCGTGTTTACAACCATAAACAAACCTTTTTTTTTTTTTTTTTTGCTGAAAGTTCACACACAAGTAAAAAACGACTGATGAGAAAGTAAAATGATTCTGTTTCTATTTTAAAACATAGAAAGGTGACAATCTGGGCCAGCACAAGTATTTATACAGCTTTAAGCCCTAAGTGCATTAAATTGCCTTTAAAACATATCTAATGACAGATGAATGTTTGAATCTTGTCCTAGAGTCAGGGAGAGAGCTGAGGCCGGGGCGACAACGACCCTAAAAACACAGCTAAAGCTAAATCTACAATGGAAGGGTTTAAAATAAAACATATGTAAGTGTTAGAATGGCCCAGTCACAGTCCAGAGCTACAATAGAACATTTGTGGAAAGACCTGAAAACTGCTGTTCGCAAACACTCTAATCTGGCAGAGCTTGAGTTGTTTTGTAAAGAGGAATGGGCACTTTCTGTCTCGACTAGGAGTGTGACAATATATCGATATGGTGATGTAACGTGATACTTTCTCACGCAATCGATTACCAACATGCTTCTACTATGTATCGATTTTTTATTTTTTTTGTTCAAATTTTTACTTTTATTTTTTAAGCTTTATTTGAAAAAATAAATCAGTATCTTGATAGTTAGTATATGGCTACATTACACATTGTACAATTTCTGTAGAATGTTCATATTGATTTTATTGGATGTAAGACATATTGTTATATAAAAAAAGTCCGCATTTTTACTAAAACGTGCAGGTTAAAAGGTATTTTTGCTTGTTCACTTTAATGTTACACATGACACTTTATTCATTTAGCTAGAAATAAGGTGTATTTTTTCACTTAATTTATGCCATAAATATAAGAAAAATATTATCGTAGGTACATTTCTGACCAATATATTGATAATCGCTGCATCGTCATATCGGTATAATTGTTATCGTGAGCTATAGCTAGAGATGTTATACTTGCTTCTTTATTATGCTTGTGTCATATTTCATTTTAGTGTAGAGTTATTGTTCATTTATCTTGTGTTGTGTGCTCCTCATTCCTTCTGTTCTGTAACCAGTGATGCAACACTGAAATTTCCCCTCAACGGGAGATAAATACATCTTAAAACATGACAAAAGTTCAGTTCTTGCTGTATTAATAACTTTGCGAGACACTGTAGCAACTGCGGATATAGGAGCAATTAACTTTGTTTTGTTTTGGCTGCGTGCTGAGGACTGGAGCAGCTAAAACCAGGACTTTTCCATGAGCCTGATGCCCTGGACGGACTGCCCCCATATAGAGCTCATTTTGGGTCCAACCTCATCCGCTCCAGTTCTGCTAATCACAGGGTTGCTATGAGTACCGTGACAAGCGGAGCATGCTTTTGCAAAACCTCATTTCAACCACGCCTCTTTCTCCCTCTCTCTCTCCAAAAGCCCAACCCACTCACTGTTCTGCCTTTGCTGATGCTCACAAAGTTTATCAGAGAGCCTGGAATTCCAGATAGGAATGCCAGGCCAGCCGAGCTCAGTCTCTCCACCTCTTTCTTCCTTTTGGGGCTGGAATGACACATATTCAAACTCGTGGTGACCTCTGACACTGGGATAACTTTACTACTTCTCTATGTTAATGGAGGGGGAGGGACAGAGCTGCCTATCCCTGCCCTGACGTCCCAATAACACTGTATTACATATAGTAAAAACTGGCTTCACTGTGTCCTGGGGCAGGCTGTGTCACAACTCATCCCAAGGAGTAGTTTAGGAAGCTTCATTTTGTTGTCTTAGTAGCAAAAAAAGTATTTGGTTCTTCTATACCAGACGACATATGGGTAATAACATTGCAAACTTACTGTTGTCTTGTATAGAAGAAACTAATACTTTTTTAATCCAAGTAGGTCTCCCAAACCATGGATCATTTTGGATTACTTAAAGTGGATTTTACACTATATTTACGAGTCCATTTTGTTGATAGCACGTTTGACACTGTATTCAGTGTCTCTGTAAATATATTGTTATTAAAACCACAAAATACATCCCAGGGGAAACTCTAGAGTGACACATTACGTATGGGATCGCCCTATACTCAAGACAAAAAGGTTGGCATTTGGCAAACATTGAGAGAGTACACTTGAATTATGCCTTTAATGAGAGATCTTTTATAGCTACTCCACGCATTGTTGTACCCAGCTTTTAACCTCGTAACAAAAACTAAAGTCCAATCCATCCATTCTGCAAACTGGACATTATTGATGCAAGGCCTGTTATCCCGTGGGTAAAACAGCAAAACTCGCTAGAAATTACTAAATTATTTTCTTACCCAAACAACGAGAGAAACGTGGTGTATTTATATATATGCATGTTTTGTGACCTACCAGTGTGATGAAAGCTGCACAAAAAAACTTTAAATGAATGCCTCGACTAGGCTAAGGAGTGCACACGGGACCAGACGCCATCCCATCCACAAAGCAGCACCAGCAGCAGCAACATCTTGGGATAAGAGCCTCGGTCTGAACCCGGGCGGAGGGCAGCAGGTCCCCGCGGTTCAAGCCCCACACATCCGCACGGTGCTCGCCTACGATAGCGGGGTTTATGTCCAGAGAAGCGGGGGTGAATAGGCGTCAGATGGCGATAGTTAGTGGTTCTAGTCCTCCTCAGGCGTAGACGAAGTTGCCCCAAACTGTGGAGGAGCAGAATGAGCCCTCCCTCCTTCGCCCGGGAGAGCGTGGGCCTGTCTGGGAGGAACCAGACACCTCGCCGCGGCTCTCCATTGGCTGTTCCTCTCAAACCATCTCTAAAGCCCCGTTTCCACCAAGCCAACTTAGCCCTACTCTACTCTACTCGGTTCTACTCTTCGCTACTCGGTTCTACTCTACTCTACTCTACCCGGACCGGGACCTGCCCCAACCTTGTTTTACACTACGAATTATGAAACTACTACAATTCAAAAAGCCGTCATTTTGACTGCTCCCATTCAAACCAATTAGATTCTGAGAAATTCCCCCAAAGAATGTTTAGGTTTTCACCAGATTCATTAAAAGAAAGTAATGCACACAGTTTTTACCAAAATATCTATTTACCTACAAAAATAAAGCTAATTCTACCTTCTGACAGCAGACTGTGGTGTTGCTATGGTAACTAGCACCTGGTGGAAAAATAGTTAAAGGTAGAACTATTCACATTTTGAAAGAAAAGGACAATTTCATACAAAAATAATGACAAAGAAATAAAATACATAAAGCTATAAAAAAGTAACAAAGTTATGAAGACCACAAATGTACATGATATGAGTGATTACGCATCCAATACTAAAAGCCGTCAAATTGACTGCTCTGGGAGTTGCCCTTTTTTGTACCTACTTGGCCCTGGTTCTATCCCGGTGATTGGTCAGGGGGGTAGCCATGGTTACCGAGGAATTTCAACAGATACTGGTTTGTTGTGAATAGGTTGCTAGGATACGGTAGCAGACCCTGAAGCGTAATGGGAACGCAAACAGGTAGAATAGAGTAAAGTAGAGTAGAGTATAGACAAAAGTAGAGTTCTGGTGGGAGGATAGAATAGAATAGTGTCCCACAAGTTAAGGGTTAGGGTTAGGGTCAACACACTATGCACTGGGCAAAGATGGTGAAGTTACAATCATAAAGTTTAGCATACACAAGTGCCTTTATATGAGCATGGGCACCTAAAATGACAACTACATTCACAGTGTTAAACGTGTATGATAGAAGTTTAGGCGGCCGTGTTTAGCCGCTTCACGCCCTGGGCAGGAAGCAATTCTGGTCTGAGTACTTCCTTCCTACGCTGGACTTCAGAGTGGCCACTAAAACGTTATTTCTGTAATTTCTACCTCCATCTAGTGGCCATTTTACCACACTGCAGACGTGGGATTGCAGGATTATTTATGCAGCTGGTGCCCAAAGTCAGGACTAAACATGGAGAGCCAGCAATTCAGATTGAGGCAGAAAAAAATCTATCTGGAACAGTCTTGCTGAAAATGTGAGACAGGCTTCTACTCAATGTTTAATTCCAGGTTAAAACTGTTCTGTTTAGCTGTGAATACAACTGAAGGATCTTTTTATATTATTGTTGGTTTGATGAGTTTCCTTGTAACTGTGCTATACAAATAAACTTTCTTTGCTTTAAAAAATCTCTTTCAGACATTAAAGTGAGAGTCTCAGCCCAAAGCATCAAAAAGTGACTCCCAGGGCTTTTTCTTACACTGTATTACAAAATGTGACTTTTCTGTTGGGACTTACACCATGTATTATTTCGATTGGAAGCAGTGGGAGACCCGTAGACTGTAAATATTAATAGTGATCTAATAGGTTATCGCTCATGGAGGGCAGGTCTCTCTCGCTGGTCCCTTGACGTCAGACGTGCCCCTGCCCTGTCACCATGGTTACACCCTCCTCCCTCCTCCTCCTCGCGCTGGGCTGGCTCCACAATGGTTCAAGCAGCAGCATCCTGCAGCAGCACAATGGTTGTAAGGTGCTGAACGAGGAGAACAAGTGATTCAGCATCAGAGAGGATCTTCCACCAGTGCAGCTTGTTTTGATTTCTCCATCGCCATCTTTCTTTGCCGTTTCCTCCGCCTCCATCTTTATGAGCCGCAGACATGGAGGAGGTCGGTGTGCAGTTTCTCGTGAGGATGTTTTGAACAGGACTGTCACAGGACTGGGCTCGTCATCAGCTGGCACGGAATGGTAAGCCTGGCCTCGGGTTGTTTGGTGTGGGCATGGAGGTGGATGTCAGCTGTTTGGAAGGGCAGCGGTGGGATTGTGCTACTGACGGCTCAGGACAAGTGATTGTCCAGCAGCGAGGGCTGAATAACAATACTCACACGTACTAAACTGTGAGCATCAGTTTTGTAACACTCTGCACCGAGCGGAGACTCCAATGGCGCTGTGTTCACTGATTAAATACTACTCCCTCCCTCTGCATCTGAGCATCATGTAGTGTAATTATGTTTGTGATTGAACTCAGAGTCTACGCACTCACTGGAACAAACTGATGCAGTGGATACTAGTGCGCTGGTTCATCAGTGTAATAACATCAGAGCTACAGCAGAGCCACAGCAGAGCCACAGCAGAGCGTGGTGCAGTTGTGTAAGCAGTGACACACACAGGAGTGGTGCAAAAGCTAATGGAGGACCACAGTATAGTGTTCATAACACCAGCCTGAGCAAGGCCTACTGTAGGCCTCCTGATGCAGAGTGTTCTCCCCCGCAGGAGCTGCGCACCTTGTGCATAATGCAGAGCTCAGAATGTGGGACAGTCTTTGGACAGTCTGTGGGACAGTGTGTGGGACAGAATGTGGGACAGTGTGTGGGACAGTGTGTGGGACAGTCTTTGGACAGTCTGTGGGACAGAATGTGGGACAGTGTGTGGGACAGTCTGTGGGACAGAATGTGGGACAGAATGTGGGACAGAATGTGGGACAGTGTGTGGGACAGTGTGTGGGACAGTGTGTGGGACAGTGTGTGGGACAGTGTGTGGGACAGTCTGTGGGACAGTCTGTGGGACAGAATGTGGGACAGAGTGTGGGACAGTGTGTAGGACAGTCTGTGGGACAGTCTGTGGACAGTCTGTGGACCACAACAGTCTCACTGGACCAAACAGGAGCAGTCCCAGTGTTATGTGTGGGGTGTGTTTATCAACACAACACAAGAGGATTGGATATTCTGCAAGTCGTAGTCACTGTTTCTTCATCATAGTCTAGCATTTGTTTAAAATCAAAATAGTTAGTTTCATTATTTGTGCTGATAGTTTTGTTAAAGGTTGATTGATCAGTGTTGCTTTGGAGACAAAAATGTCAGAACAAAACGATGACCTTATTTGTTGAATTATTGAAACACAGCCTTCTTTGACAGAGTGGAGGCTTCCTCTGATGCAGAATCTCTTCTGGTTTATTCTTCTGTTTGATCTACAGTCGTCAGATATTTGTTGTTTGGAGATGTTTCATTTATAATCATTATTATTCACATGGAACTAAGTCGACTGTTTTGTTCTTGATGAATGAATTCACTGATTTGTCTCATTTGATGATATATTCTTCATGTTTTCTGTGAACAAAGCCTCTGTATCAGCTTTGACAGAGAACTGCTGTAAGTGTGTTTCCATGACATCCACCCATCACTGACCTTGTTGGTTTCAAAATAAAGATTATAAAAAGAAATGCGGCTCTCTGTGCTAAGATGCCGTGTGCATTTCAAATCCAATTCTAAAATATTATTTACTACGACAAAAACATTACAAAAGAAAAAAGTAACATTTGAACGAGTGAAAATGTTGTATTTCTTATTACAGCAACAATAAGTTACAGCATATTTTTCCCATGTAATAAAGAAAATACATTTTTGTCTCCCATTTGGGGAACTCTGTCCTCAATTTAGAGACAATTTTACACATATTAACCAATCCCAGTCTTCAAATCTGATCGAGAGTTCACATGGAGAGTCTAGAGAACTTTCAGAACAAAAATGGGAATTTCAAAACTATGACTAAACATGGGACATTTGTGTGAGCACAGAAATAGCCACACAAAAATAACTTATTTGTAGGCCTGGTATTGTTATTGTCATTGTTGATGCTGGGACTGCGGTGTTAGCATATTATCAGCTTGCTAACGGCTGTGTTGCTTCTTCAGAGGAGGCAAGGGGAACATAGGACATCACTGGTTTGTATACATTCAAATGATGAGTTGTGGTTGTTGAACGGACTTGTGTTAGCGAGGTTTTTATGGCAGTTTTCCATCTCTCCTCTCTCTCACCGGGGCCCACACGGGATCCTGCTTGTATACTGCAGGAGAGAGGGAGGCTGAGGCACTGGAGCTGGGGCTGGTGGAGGGGGGGAGGGGCAGTGGGCGCTAATGCCAGAAGACTCAGCGGCGGGAATGACAACATGGGACAGGGAGGAGACCATACAGGATGGAGAGACAGGGACACGCACCAGTACAAAAGATACATACATACAATTTAAGATAAACTTTATTGATCTCACAAGTACACGTCACATTTGGCATGGATAGACTCACTCAGGGAAGTGTGCAGACATGTAAAAAGGTTATAATAGTTTATTTTGTGCAAGATATTACGATACAACGAGCGACCCGCCCGAGGCAACTCAAAGGGCTGAACATAACAAAATTATCATAAAGGCGTTAAGATGAAACTGTTTTTATCCTGGATTTGAATATTGTCAAAGAAGAAGCCTGTCTCACATTTTCAGGAAGACAGATTTTAGTTCTGATATGCAGCCTCCCGTTGTTAAGTCCTGACTCTGGGACCAGCAAGAGGCCAGTCCCTGTGTTCCTCAGAGTCTCAGCAAGAGGCCAGCCCCTGTGCTCCTCAGAGTCTCAGCAGGAGGCCAGTCCCTGTGCTCCTCAGAGTCTCAGCAGGAGGCCAGTCCCTGTGCTCCTCAGAGTCCCAGCAGGAGGCCAGTCCCTGTGCTCCTCAGAGTCTCAGCAAGAGGCCAGTCCCTGTGCTCCTCAGAGTCTCAGCAAGAGGCCAGTCCCTGTGCTCCTCAGAGTCCCAGCAGGAGGCCAGTCCCTGTGCTCCTCAGAGTCCCAGCAGGAGTCCAGTCCCTGTGCTCCTCAAAGTCACCAGCAGGAGTCCAGTCCCTGTGCTCCTCAGAGTCCCAGCAGGAGGCCAGCCCCTGTGCTCCTCAGAGTCCCAGCAGGAGGCCAGCCCCTGTGCTCCTCAGAGTCCCAGCAGGAGGCCAGCCCCTGTGCTCCTCAGAGTCCCAGCAGGAGTCCATTCCCTGTGCTCCTCAGAGTCACCAGCAGGAGTCCAGTCCCTGTGCTCCTCAGAGTCACCAGCAGGAGTCCAGTCCCTGTGCTCCTCAGAGTCCCAGCAGGAGTCCATTCCCTGTGCTCCTCAGAGTCACCAGCAGGAGTCCAGTCCCTGTGCTCCTCAGAGTCACCAGCAGGAGTCCAGTCCCTGTGCTCCTCAGAGTCACCAGCAGGAGGCCAGTCCCTGTGCTCCTCAGAGTCACCAGCAGGAGGCCAGCCCCTGTGCTCCTCAGAGTTGGTTCATATGATCCCACCATCATTTCCAAACAGATTCTTTCAAAATCAGACATGTGATGTTCTGGATTTTTTTTCCTTTTTCTCATCCTGTCTCTCTCAAAGTTGAGGTTTACCTGTGACCTCATCTTTCACAGTTTACACTCACACAGTCAGTAAATGTTCCGTCCACTTTGGAAGCGTGTTAGCTGATAAACTTTGGGTTGGATTGTTCGGTGTACTGTCCGTCCACGCAGCACCCAGGGCCCCATCGTGATCCTGGAGCCGTGCCCACAGTCTCTGCATGAGCGAGCAGAAGCTTATGTTGTTGTTTTTGCTGTAGCTCTCATGACGTCACCACATATCCGGTTATAGAGAGAAGACACAGACCAGGCCCGTCACACTCAGGCCCGTGGGACAAACCCGGGCCCGCAACGCCATTTCTAGAGGCCCCTTCGATTGTCATTGTTACTGTAACTTGGTGGTAATGGGATACTATGGCATGTTATACTTCATTCTAAAGCTTATCGTCTCAGGTATACGACCATAGAATTTAATCTGTCCTAGAATTGAAGCTAAATAGAAGTTTAGTTTGGCCAAAGATTTATTTTTTATAGCAAATGATCACTCTTTATAATAATTTCTAAAGTTTCGTCTTAAGACACACTTTTACTCTCTTTTAAGTGGTGTTGTCCTCTGTTTGTTTTTTTATGGTTATTTTTGTATTGGATAACTGATATTTTATTGTTTTTAATTAAAGTCACATTCACAAACATCATTATTGTTTTAATTATTCTATTTTTGATACATATAAAGCCATATCAACCTCTGTATTTAAATGTGTTACTTTTATTCAAGTGGATTGGATTCTGTCTGATCTCTTCTTGGTATTTGGCACAGAAAATACAATCCAAATGTCAAACAATTTTATATTTTGACAATTATATAATGTATTGTCAAAAAGGGTATAATAGCATCAATAATGAATATAAAACAAAGACAAATTTTCTCCCGACCAAAATTTGTTTGACAAGCCCTGGTTTAGCCAAATAACCAAAAACTCAAAGTAAAGTGACCGATATAAAAGATCACCTCCCTGTATTTGCCTTATACAATGACAACTACATCAATGAGAAGAAATCACATTATCACATAATTAAACGATTAAGAACAGAATAATATTATTATGCAATTAGAGGTGTGAGTGAACAATTATTTCACTTCTTCACACTCCCTTTCAAGATAACAATATGTGAAAAAATGTAATCTGTATTATATTGTTTAGTAATGTCTAGGAATTAAATTTTATTTGCCCGTTCGGCGCAAACTCTTGACGTCACCCACATCTAACTACAACACCCGCCTCCCGCGCTCACTGATTGGTCGGACAGAATTCAACCGATTGTAATTGCAAACACAGGGACCAGACCCAGACGTTACATGCAGTGAAATGATGATTGATCGGAGTGTACGGAGGGATAAGGCCAGGCTATGGTTTTGTGCTCATGCTCGAAATAATTGATTGATTAATTCAAAGTAAAAGTGGACTGTCTTGTGTCTTGCAGGTCTTTATGAGCAGGCATTTCTTATACAACTGCAGTCAACCGATCCTGGATGTGAAGATAGCCTTTTGTCAGGTGTGTGTCCCAAACAGGTAAAAAGGTAATGTACCGATTCTCCTTCTGTTCTTCTCCAATGTGCCCTCGTGACGACAAGCATTTTGGAATGAGCCTTCACAGGACTTTAAAGGAGACGTGTTGTGAGGATTTTGGGGGATTTTCAACACTTAGTAGGACTCGCAGGATGTAGAATCTATCAGAACTCCCAGAGCAGTCGTTTTGACGGCTCTCATTCAAATCAAAATTAACCGAAAAAGTTTGTTTTCAGAATCAGGATCTTTTTAGTAGCATTGTGAGTAACAGGAAAAGTCACAAACTAGGAAATTGCTTTGGCTCTCAGTGCAAACAAGTCATAAAAGTAAAAAGTAAGGAAATAAAAAATCTACATATATATTTTTTTAATTACTACAATATACTAATACATTAAGTACACACGATAGACATTTGAATACAAGTTTTTCTTTATTTACTCACTTCTAATAAGTGATAAAACCTGTTCATATAACTGAAAATACAGTGAAATCAAATGCTAACTGCTAGCAAGAAAACTGTGTTGCTATGGTTACTTGACTCAGAACCTTTAACTGCCACAGAATGTTGGTTGGAGCAGTCAAAATGGCCGCTCTGGGAGTTTAAGGTCAAACCACTCACCACACACAAAGTTATGAAGACCACAAATGTACATGAGTTAGGGTATTACACTTCCAAAAGTAAAAACTGTCAAATTTACTGCTCTGGGAGTTCTAGTGTTATACCACACATAGATGATTATTTGTTCACTCCTCATACTAAACCACACACGATCAATTCCAGGGAAACTTTGGGTTCGAGATAATTCTAGAATGTTGAAAGCCCCTGATTTTTTTTTTTGCATGACATGTCTCCTTTAAGTTCTTCGCCCAGTGCTTTACTCCCAGACAAACAACCCGTTCTTTTTGCAGTTATGATTCTAAAACAGTTTTGCTTTGCTTCCATAACAGTGCATGAGGAGTTTAACACCACTAAACATACACACATATAGTAATTTGGTTCTCCTATACAAGACAAACGAAAGATAGCAGTCTTAGCTGGGAAAACTGCGTCCTGGGGGCTACATCCGGCCCAATTCACACTTCCATGCGGCCCCTGACCCTTCCCAGGCGGACTGTTGCTTATGAATCAGGAGTCATTAGCCTGTGAAGACTTGTATTTGTAGTAGTAGTAATAGCTTGTAACTTATTATGTGCTTACATGGCACCAAAATTCTATTATTGATTATTTGAAGTATCTTTTTGCTAAATTAAATACAAAATTAACAAGATTAAAACAAGCCAGGCTCTCCACAATAACGCGACATCCCCAATAATTGCCCACTCGTGTCTTAGACCAGGCACACATAAGATGGCAAATAGACACATAGGGAGATATAGCATAGCATGGCATGGCAAATAGACATGTAGAGCTGTAGCATAGCATAGCATCTAGATAGCATATTGACACTTAGAGATATAGCATAGCATAAAGATAGCATATTGACACTTAGAGATATAGCATAGCATAAAGATAGCATATTGACACTTAGAGATATTGACCCCTTGCATGTGACGTCCCGGCCACGCCCACTCTCCATGACAGACGGCAGAAGTCTAACTGCGAGCCTACGGACACCTGACCAAAACAACCTGTTTCAGCGCATTACAGCCAAAACTGTGACATTTTCCTCTCCGTCAGTACGTATCATGTTTGGCTGTAGACAGAAAAGCCACAGAAAAGTGGACTATTGCTAATGCTACCAGCAAAATGTGTGAGGGGATGCATTGTTAACGATAATGATTAAGATCATGTAGGGTGAATTTGGGCAAAAATAGACATTTTATTTAATCGATAAAATTGACTGGGGGGAGAAGGTACGGGTCAACATCCAGTTCGGCGATCCTTAACTTCTCCAAATACCACTCTTTGTGAGCCCTGACCTGATGTCCTACTTCCACCTATAACGTAATCGAACATGTGCTTGAAGCAGCCACTTCTCGATTTAGGAGAGGAAGCTCCGTTTTTAAGAGTTGTGTCCGTTTTGCTCTCGCAGCAATGCTAGTTTCCAATACTTCCGCCGTAAGCTCATTCACAATCACATGACTGGATGACGTTGATGCATCTGGTCAATAGCATAGCATGTAGATAGCATATTGACACTTAGAGATATAGCATAGCATAGCATAAAGATAGCATATTGACACTTAGAGATATAGCATAGCATAGCATATAGATAGTATATTGACACTTAGAGATATAGCATAGCATAGCATAAAGATAGCATATTGACACTTAGAGATATAGCATAGCATAGCATATAGATAGTATATTGACACTTAGAGATATAGCATAGCATAGCATATAGATAGTATATTGACACTTAGGCCCTGTCCACACGAAGTCAAGCTCAGGCCTAAACGCAAAAATACTTTATCAATCCAGTGTATCGTCCATACGAGGCCGGCGTTTTGGGGGGGTGTAAACGAACATTTTTGAAAGTAGGTCCCAGAGTGGAAAGATTTCAAAACTCCGTATATGCCGCTCCGTGGTTACTGCCTCTCCGCAATGTATCTGAGACGCTTGCGTCATCGCCCCGCCTCTTGTTAAAGCACGCATGCGCCGCACTCACAAAATAATGACAACAACAATGTAGCTTGTTGGTTTTGTAATCCAGTGCGACCCGAAGCAACAGTTCAACCTCATCGTCCGTCCATACTAATGTAGTACCAGCTCGCCCACTCGCCATGTTGTCTGTTTACAAAATTCTGCGCATGCCCAGTTCCCGTCACGGAAGTTTGAGCTTGATCCCGTCATTGCGTCACAGCGCCACCAACAGGTCTGGCATAGTTTCACAGCGTTTTCAGGCGTATTGACTACATTCATATGGACGCACACATTTACTGAGCTAACTCCGTGTTTACAGAAAAAGTTTCTGAAATTATAAGCGTTTTGTCTTCGTGTGGATATAGCCTTAGAGATATAGCATAGCATAGCATATAGATATAGCATTTAGACATATAGATATAGCATGCATGTTTCCTATTGGGCGTATAGCAGAAAGATGCAGCTTCTCTCAGCCAGCTGGGCGGTTGCCAGGTTTGATGAACAGAGCAAAGCCATGTTATTAGCGGCCACTGACCATCTGGGATCAGCTCACATTTTACATGGAGTAACAGATGAACGCGACGTGCTGTGGGTTTAGTTTGAAGCAGGAGAAAACGCATTTGCATAAAAATATTGCTCCAGCAGTAAAAGTTATTCTCTAATAGATTTATGTGGCTCTGGAGCAGTAGGAGGCCTGATCGATGGGTTTATTCAAGTGTTTCATATGCATTCAGAATATGGCAATAAAAACGTGCAGCAGCAGAAAGCATGCTATTATAGGATTGGACTTAGAAGCATGGCTAACCAGTTCGAGCCTGTGTTAAAGCGGCCGAGACGTTGCACGAAATCCACTGTCTTGTCTGTTTTGTGTTTTTTTTTTTGTGTCGTCCCCTGTTGTGTTTTTAAAGTACATTTTTACAGGTGAAAAGTAAAAATTTAGTTATTTTAAAAGTATTGATGAAAGTAAAAAGTGGTCAGAATTGAAAAAAAAAAGTATGGTAGAGTATAATGTCTTGTTTGGGTCTAAGGACAGTGGTGATCTCGGACATTGAAGGACATTTATGGACATTTATGAACGTTTATGTCACAAGGAGGACCCAAAATGCATAAAAAATAATGATTTACACAAGAATCAGGACAATGAAAAAATATAGAGACAAAAAACAATGGAGTAGTCACCAGCAACCAATGGGGATGAGCACAGGTACATAGAGAGACACAGGTACATAGAGAGACACAGGTACATAGAGAGACACAGGTACATAGAGAGACACAGGTACATAGAGAGACACAGGTAGATAGAGAGACACAGGTAGATAGAGAGACACAGGTACATAGAGAGACACAGGTAGATAGAGAGACACAGGTACATAGAGAGACACAGGTAGATAGAGAGACACAGGTACATAGAGAGACACAGGTAGATAGAGAGACACAGGTAGATAGAGAGACACAGGTACATAGAGAGACACAGGTACATAAAGAGACACAGGTAGATAGAGAGACACAGGTAGATAGAGAGACACAGGTACATAGAGAGACACAGGTACATAGAGAGACACAGGTAGATAGAGAGACACAGGTACATAGAGAGACACAGGTACATAGAGAGACACAGGTAGATAGAGAGACACAGGTAGATAGAGAGACACAGGTAGATAGAGAGACACAGGTACATAGAGAGACACAGGTAGATAGAGAGACACAGGTACATAGAGAGACACAGGTACATAGAGAAACACAGGTACATAGAGAGACACAGGTAGATAGAGAGACACAGGTACATAGAGAGACACAGGTAGATAGAGAGACACAGGTACATAGAGAGACACAGGTAGATAGAGAGACACAGGTAGATAGAGAGACACAGGTAGATAGAGAGACACAGGTACATAGAGAGACACAGGTACATAGAGAGACACAGGTACATAGAGAGACACAGGTAGATAGAGAGACACAGGTACATAGAGAGGCACAGGTACATAGAGAGACACAGGTAGATAGAGAGACACAGGTACATAGAGAGACACAGGTACATAGAGAGACACAGGTACATAGAGAGACACAGGTACATAGAGAGACACAGGTAGATAGAGAGACACAGGTACATAGAGAGACACAGGTAGATAGAGAGACACAGGTAGATAGAGAGACACAGGTACATATAGAGACACAGGTAGATAGAGAGACACAGGCACATAGAGAGACACAGGTACATAGAGAGACACAGGTAGATAGAGAGACACAGGTAGATAGAGAGACACAGGTACATAGAGAGACACAGGTACATAGAGAGACACAGGTACATAGAGAGACACAGGTACATAGAGAGACACAGGTAGATAGAGAGACACAGGTACATAGAGAGACACAGGTACATAGAGAGACACAGGTAGATAGAGAGACACAGGTACATAGAGAGACACAGGTAGATAGAGAGACACAGGTACATAGAGAGACACAGGTACATAGAGAGACACAGGTACATAGAGAGACACAGGTACATAGAGAGACACAGGTACATAGAGAGACACAGGTACATAGAGAGACACAGGTAGATAGAGAGACACAGGTACATAGAGAGACACAGGTACATAGAGAGACACAGGTACATAGAGAGACACAGGTAGATAGAGAGACACAGGTACATAGAGAGACACAGGTAGATAGAGAGACACAGGTACATAGAGAGACACAGGTAGATAGAGAGACACAGGTAGATAGAGAGACACAGGTAGATAGAGAGACACAGGTACATAGAGAGACACAGGTACATAGAGAGACACAGGTACATAGAGAGACACAGGTAGATAGAGAGACACAGGACATAGAGAGGCACAGGTACATAGAGAGACACAGGTAGATAGAGAGACACAGGTACATAGAGAGACACAGGTACATAGAGAGACACAGGTACATAGAGAGACACAGGTACATAGAGAGACACAGGTAGATAGAGAGACACAGGTACATAGAGAGACACAGGTAGATAGAGAGACACAGGTAGATAGAGAGACACAGGTACATATAGAGACACAGGTAGATAGAGAGACACAGGAATAGAGAGACACAGGTACATAGAGAGACACAGGTACATAGAGAGACACAGGTACATAGAGAGACACAGGTACATAGAGAGACACAGGTACATAGAGAGACACAGGTACATAGAGAGACACAGGTAGTACATAGAGAGACACAGGTAATAGAGAGACACAGGTACATAGAGAGACACAGGTAGATAGAGAGACACAGGTACATAGAGAGACACAGGTAGATAGAGAGACACAGGTACATAGAGAGACACAGGTACAGAGAACCAGGTAATAGAGAGACACAGGTAATAAGAGACACAGGTACATGAGACACAGTAATAGAGAGACACAGGTACATAGAGAGACACAGGTACATAGAGAGACACAGGTACATAGAGAGACACAGGTACATAGAGAGACACAGGTACATAGAGAGACACAGGTAATAGAGAGACACAGGTACATAGAGAGACACAGGTACATAGAGAGACACAGGTACATAGAGAGACACAGGTACATAGAGAGACACAGGTACATAGAGAGACACAGGTACATAGAGAGACACAGGTACATAGAGAGACACAGGTACATAGAGAGACACAGGTACATAGAGAGACACAGGTACATAGAGAGACACAGGTACATAGAGAGACACAGGTACATAGAGAGACACAGGTACATAGAGAGACACAGGTACATAGAGAGACACAGGTACATAGAGAGACACAGGTACATAGAGAGACACAGGTACATAGAGAGACACAGGTACATAGAGAGACACAGGTACATAGAGAGACACAGGTACATAGAGAGACACAGGTACATAGAGAGACACAGGTACATAGAGAGACACAGGTAGATAGAGAGACACAGGTACATAGAGAGACACAGGTACAAGAGACACAGGTAGATAGAGAGACACAGGTACATAGAGAGACACAGGTAGATAGAGAGACACAGGTACATAGAGAGACACAGGTAGATAGAGAGACACAGGTACATAGAGAGACACAGGTAGATAGAGAGACACAGGTAGATAGAGAGACACAGGTACATAGAGAGACACAGGTACATAGAGAGACACAGGTACATAGAGAGACACAGGTACATAGAGAGACACAGGTACACATAGAGAGACACAGGTACATAGAGAGACACAGGTACATAGAGAGACACAGGTACATAGAGAGACACAGGTACATAGAGAGACACAGGTAGATAGAGAGACACAGGTACATAGAGAGACACAGGTACATAGAGAGACACAGGTACATAGAGAGACACAGGTACATAGAGAGACACAGGTACATAGAGAGACACAGGTACATAGAGAGACACAGGTACATAGAGAGACACAGGTAGATAGAGAGACACAGGTACATAGAGAGACACAGGTACATAGAGAGACACAGGTAGATAGAGAGACACAGGTAGATAGAGAGACACAGGTACATAGAGAGACACAGGTAGATAGAGAGACACAGGTACATAGAGAGACACAGGTACATAGAGAGACACAGGTACATAGAAAGACACATAGAGAGTACACAGAGAGACACATGCACTGCAAAAAGTGATGAAAAAATTGTTCAAAAAATGGCAAAATGTATCCGCCTTAAAACAAGATTTGCTAATGGAAGAAACATGTCTCTCTTGGATTGAGAAAATAAAAGTTCTGGAAATTAGACTAAATGGCTTTATCCCATTGGAGAATCTTGTTTTAACACAGTCAGAATCTGTCAGATTAAGATAAAAACCACTCGATTCAAGCAATTATTACCTCATATTTTATCATTTTTTGCAGTGTGAGGGCGGGGCAGATATTTAACACGGGGAAACTGGACAGAAACTAAAACTAGAACATAACCACAAGAGAACTAATGTTGAAATAACTAAATCTGTGAGGATTTATGGACATTGGGCATCTCTCTCCCTGTCGACCAATGCTGATGTGTTACTCCAACAGTTTGATTCTCCGATCTGTCGGTGGCAGAACTTAAAGACTTTAAGTTAAAGTCCTCCGAAAACTTAACAAATTACTTAAAATTGACTGTAACTAAACTGCACCTCGAGTGATAGAACTGCATGTTTTAATAACCCACATTTTTTGCATGGCACGTCTGCATTTCACCTGTGAGTGTGACGCCCACGATAATAAACTCACATCACGTCACTGT